CCTTCAAATCCCTAAATAAAACTTGTGACGTATGTTAAGAAAAAATTCATATATTGTATACAATTATGTTGGGCAACAACTTTTCTACAATATGCACATTTCAGCTTCAACAATTTATTTTTATATTCCTACATCAAGCTGTGCAACTGCTTCAAGAAACTTCAATACCGTGCACGCAATTTTTTTTTGGAATACCTAACATTTTGATACTCTGTAACTAAAATTCATAGAAGACCCAATGGCCACATATATACCTAACACTAATATTTTTTTTCCCTATATACTTTGAGGGAATATCAAGGGAAAGATACTAGAAAACTTGAGTATCTGAGTAGAAAAAATCACTAAATTCGTTTTATTTTTTATTATTATTATTATTTTTTTGGGTAAAAAAAAAAAAAAAAAAAACTTATTCTATATTAGTATATTTTGAATTACTTTAAGTTACAACACTACTTTAGAAGCAACCAGAAATACTAGAGAGCAAATGCACCAGAGCTCATGTTAGCAGAATCTCACAAGTGAACTCTTACTTGAAAATTTTAATCTAATTGTAGCTAAACTTAAAAACCACAGACACATATATATCATTATCCATCAATAAATCCCATTAATCACACATAATTATGTATATACAATACAGAGAGAAAGGGAGAAGATGAACAAGAGAGAAGGGAGGAAACGAAGAGAAGAGAAGAGAAGATGAAAAGTTGAAAGTGTTATGTGGGTCCAATGTATAAGTTAATTTTGTATACAGTATTCGTAGATGGTAAAAGAAAGTAACTTTCAAACTTCAGTGTTGAGTTGGCGCTTAGTAAGTAGTGACAAAGCAATGACAAGGCAAGTATAGCTGACTTGGCTTCATCACAACCATAAGAACCTCCATGGACAGCCTCCAGTGAGAAGTGCCATGGAGAAGATTTTTGCCCCTTCAGGGCCGGAGGGGACAGGTGGCCCCTCAAAAGTTTTTGGTCTTTGTTGTTATATGTGTGTATATATATATATTAAAAATTACAAAATACCCCTTAAAAATTATTGAAGGTTGTAGAAGTCTTGCTGCACCTTTACTTTCCACCGTTGGTCTTTATTTATGAACTGCGACAGAACAACAAATGATGGACTTCTCCTTTACTTCCGAGCAGATACTTCTAAAATAAAAGATCCATTCTGCAAAGACTTGGAATAAATTTTCAGTAGGTTAGTGTCACCTTCAAATGTGGGGATTGCCAATTCTATATAGATAAAAGTCGGCTCGTTGAGTTCACATTCTACAAATATTGCATGTAATACAAGTTCGTGAATCTAGTTAGGAAGAAGAATCAATGCAATTTAACCACCGGACATCCGATACTGTTTTTGTCATGAAAAGGTACCGTTGCTGTCATGAACTCAACCACCCGGACATCCGATACAGATAGCATCATTTAATATATATATTTTTTGGCTACTAACAAAGGTTCCAAATCGTGAATTATATTCATAGTCTTAATTAATTAATTGATTACAAGGACAGGTCCATTGACAGGAATGGCATTATTTTACAGCATTCACTACTCATGTATGATGGTGAAAACGTAACAAGCCGCCATTTAAATTGCACTGCTACAAAGCATCTTTTATTTGTTCAAAAGCTAAGCAAGGGCCAGAAATGTGAAATGGATTAGAGAAATGGCTGCTACGTGGGGTCTTCCTTCAACCATAGTCAAGTGAGGGCATTTGTGAAGTCTTTAACAGACAAAAACCTATCTAATTGTGTTGAAAATGTCTTGAATTATTTTTAAGGTTGAGAAACTAGCTAGATTAACATATTGTTGACAAATTCTATTGGAATTTAAATTGTTTTTCTTCCAAATATATATGATACTAGCTAAGCGATCATGTTTTAACAAAGGATGGAATTCTGAGATCTTGAATGGGTAATAAATGCATAATCTTACATCAGGAGAGACTATTTCCATTTCTAAACTAGACTTCTACATCACAATGTAAAAATTTTACATTGGGCAAGCCTTACCTTCAACAATAGTGTTAAATAATTCTTTCTTCAGTATTATTGTTAAATTCGAGTAAGGCAACGAAATGATCATAGAATCATATAAAAGTACCGATGGTAAAATATATGTTTCATGTGACATTTAAGATATAACAAATCTTATATTAATATATCATGAGATAATTAACAATATGCTAAGAAATCATTAATTAAATATGCAACTCTATATTTAATTAAATATGCAAAATAAGTTAATGAAATAATAATTATAAATAAAGAACCTGGACCGAGGCTAGTATTGGATACTATGTCCTTAAGACAGATTCGCCCCGCTATGGTGCTAACGGACTCAGTGGCCTCTATCTCCCAGGATACAACGGTCTACATCCACCAGTAGCAGCACTACAAACTCGTGGATACGGCGAACCTTCTCCGTGTAATACTCTCTCTGACTAAAAAATGCATCTATGCTATATAAATGCTGAATTTGGTGCAATTCGAATCAAATGGTTCGGACCAATCTTAATATGGCTCGATGAAATTGGATTAGGGTCTAAGTTGTTCGGACCACTTAACCTATAGTTTGAACCCACTTGGGTTGGGTTCAAGTCTAGAGAGGGAGATAGAAGAAAATGAAAATGAACAACTTGCAAATGATCCAAAAGGGGGGTATTTATAGAAACAGAAATGCCTTTTCGGATGGGGTGTATCTCTTCATTATTGGACGCAACCATTACAATAGGTTGCAATGGTTCACATGATGTCTGTTCACCACTAGACACATCTATTCCAATAGGTTGCAATGGTTCACATGGTGTCTGTTCACCAATAGACACATCAATTCCAATAGGTTGCAATGTGCCTTTTCGAGTGGGTGCAACCATGGGTTATGATTGTTCGGAAAAAGGTGTAACCCTTTGAAAAAACTAAAAAATGGTTTTTTAATTTAAAAGGTGTAACCTTTTAGAAAAACTAAAAAATAGTTTTTTTAATTCAAAAAACCAACCACCCAAAAAACCCACCCATTTGTGAAACCCATTTAAATAAGCTCAGCCTAAAATTAGGCCCAATCCAAAATTTCAAAAAAGAATAATCTGGACTTTACAATTAGGCGCAAGTCCAAGCCCAAATCCTAAACTCAGCTTATTTAAATTTCAATTTATTTCAACATTTTTTTCATGTGGGACAAACACTTCCCACATTTTGCATACCCATTTAAGCTTATCAAAACACCACACTTTGGAGCTAATTTCTCATTCACCCGGAAACGGATTTGAGAAAGTAAATACACCACGTTCATCTCCTTACGGAGAGAAATGCGCTCGTCTAGAGATCCGCAAAAAATTATTAGCGAAATCTATTCCAAATCTCATCCAAAGTTTATGTTTTTAATGGCCCCGTTTCCAACAATCCCCCACATGAATGGAAATTTGCGTAAAATGTAAAAGATGATCATACAGACACTAGAGAGAGTATAATCGGAAAGTTACTGCATCAGGATAGGTAGTTTTTGGCTTTGAACCTTCCCTAGTGTATTGCTATCGGATTTACTGGCTAACTAGTGAACGCAATGTCTTGAACTGTTCAGCCGTTTGTGTAAACTAAGACAATAACAAACATACAGTACCTTTCCTCACAAAGTTGGTCATATTGTTGTGTTCATTTTGGCCCTGAACAACTCCTGGTATTCAATGAGTGCTCCAGAAAACTTAGCCTTTATAGTTCTCATAAAAGCAGCCCCACTCCACACTCATATAGGTGACTTCTTATTAAGAGTATCCTACCATACCCCACTTGAATTTTCAAGGTATAAGAGTCATTAAAAACGTAGCTTATCCTAATCTTCGCTGTAGGTAGCACTGTCTCATCATAGAAATGGGCAAAAGATTTACTTCCCAGTGTTTCTGGTGAGTCACTCAGAATTTCTGTTGTCCCTTTGAACCTAGATCTTGGGATCTCCAGTCAACTAGGTTGGGTTTCCATTAAGGTGACTCGTTAGCTTTCTGCTTTTAATCCCATTCCCTTCGATGATCTGTACAATTGCTCTCTAGTACAACCCTCAATTTTATATATGGCCACAAAGTTGTGTTTAGAAATAATACACTTTGCAGAGATTTCTCCAGGTGAGAGCAACTGTATACTTTGTGCCCTAAAATTACTTATTGTTAGCAATATCATTTTCTTTAGTGGCACAGGTGTAGACTTACATTGAAATGTCCTCTAGGTGAAGTCTATTGACTTTCCTATTTGATTTATTCAAAGTTTCTAACTTTGAGTTATATTAAGAATATACAACGACACTTTTAATATAAAAGACATATCCACTCTTGGATTTGAAGTCTTTAATATCCCATATCCAAATTGCATCACTGTTACACCTCCAATTTAGTTAGATATCTCGATCTATGCAATATTGGATTTAGGGTGTATCTCAACTACCCAATTTATTATTTTTCAGTGCACTACAAGAAAAAAGGGCTTCTACGAGGGGCCAAAAATGCCGTGGAATCTCATTCACGGCGCATTCTAGGCCCTCGTGTATGAGGGTTCCGTAAATACTCAATTTTTTTTACGAGAAAAAATCTATCTCGTACAAAGTTTTCTACGTCGAATTGTAAGTACCCGTAAATAATCTCACGAGGTACCGTCGCATGCCGTAGAAAAGTTTTCTACGACGAGTTGTAACTACTCGTAAATAATTTCACGAGGTACAGAAGTATGTCGTAGAAAACTTTTCTAAGGCAAATTTTAACTACCCGTAAATAATCTCACGAGGCGTTGAAGTATGCCGCAGAAAACTTTTCTACGGCAAATTTTAGGTACCCGTAAATAATATAAACCATTCTCACAACTTGCCATGTATGCCGTAGAAAAGTTATTTAGGAAGATTTTCACTTATTTAAGGGATTTCAAGCTCCCCGTAAATAATATATATATATATAAAGCACCCTCAATTAATGTCAGTTAATCATCCACTACCTATAATTCACATCACTTTCAGCTATAATTCAATTCAAAAAACATACATATTCTATTAAATATATCAAAAGAATTAAAACATTTTTACAATTCATCATTTATTAATGTGCCAAAACAATTCAACATTTACAATGTTCCAAAACAGGAAATAAATCCATTTGTCAAGAAAATCATCAATTTCTTAACACTTCTGTTAAAAAATTGATAAACCTTCTAACACTTGAGTTTCAGTCTGCACTTGTTAAAAAACCACCTCACTGTACAAAATCCAAGGAAGTAGCTGCAAAATCCACAATACAAAATCCAAGGAAGCAGCTGCATCACATAAGTCTCAAATTCAGAATGCTAATAAAAAAGAGAAATAACAAGATTATCATTTATAAATCAAACACAAACATTTTGCTAAGAATTTCTTCCTTAAATCTGCAAAAATATTTGAAGCAGATAATTTTCCTTAATTGAATACTAGATTTTTGCAAGGATGTATGAGAACAGAAAATATCATAATTTCTTTATATTCATGAATACTACAATATCATAATATGTAATCTCTTTATTTCATGATTATGAACAAATCTGAAACATTGTAGGTTTTTGGTGCAACAATTATGAGCAAATCTGAAACAAATTCATCATATTCTTCTAATAATTCCCTCAGAGTTCTACTACAACCTAGAAAATACTCATATCTTGAATATTCGTTTGTACAAAAGATAATTAAATAGAATGAGGTGGTTAATTTGATTTCTCACTTTTTAACAAAATGGCAATGAATAAACTAATCAGTCCCGTCTAAATTCTAAACAGAGAGGTGGAGCCCTGGAATTTCTCTTTTACAGAGTGTAGTGGGTGGAAGGGAGAGAGTTTGCTGCTTTGAAACAGAGAGGTGGAGCCCTAAAATTTCTATTTTACAGAGAGTGTAGTCCATGCAGGTCCTTAATGACATGCAAGAAGTCAGGTTAATATGCTTTGAAACAGACAGTTGGGGCCCTATAATCTCTCTTTTGATAGCTTGTCCCAATAAACTTTCAAAATATAATAGTTTTTCAGAAGACCTTTTGAGGCTTTAGAACACTTGTAAATTATCTTATATTCACAAAGCACAAATATGAATATTTTAAATTTCTATGTCATTCCTTATAAATTGTCTTATCATTTTGTAAGCAAAACTAACCACTTAGCTCTCTTTTGCCACATAATCCATTAAAAAGAGCACATAAACACAACATCCAGAATGTCAATTATATATATCCGCAAAGGTCTGCTTTCTCTTAAAAAATTAACCTAAATTGAATATTAGAACTACTTAACAACTGATTTTCTTTGTTTTGTTGTTTGGATCTATAATATTCGGTCTACACTTCACAAATCTGCATATGGTTTCATTTGATCAATGATGGCAAATCTTTTAGCATAATTTCAGTCCATTGGAAGGTAGAAATTTAGTTTGAGAACAAAATCTGTAATTATGTTCACATGTTTCATAAGCAAAGTAACCTAAGTTATGGTAGCAAGTTTTCCAAGTCCAACTAACCTAAATATTTTTTCAACATCTACGCTATGTTAACAAGTCTTTTACATGTTAAGTATCCATGGATCAATAGAACCAACCATATATAACAAAGCAATTACCCTCCAGAGAGGGCATGTGAAGTGTTATTTTAAAGGTTTTAGTATGATATTTTTTTAGTCTAAATCCTTTTAGATGTGGGATGCAACATACTTGTGCGCTCAGGAATGATTTTTCATGATAAGGCCTGATTAAAATAAATTATAATTCTGGGATAGGTTCTCATTATCTCTGATGATATGTGGTATGTCTGCTCATTAGTATAGGGTCATAAATAATTAGAATATGGAGAAGTCATTCTCCAATTTACCTACAAATATTGCTTTCCTAGGATTGAAATTTTTTAAATTTAGTTATTACATAAAATGTTATGAATTTATTTAAAGGTATAAACAACATATCAACAACTTCTCCTCCACAACAATCAATCAAAACCGCCACATACGATGATCCCATACTCCCATGCTTTCAACATTTTAAAACAAGAAATAAAAATGGGCTCCACACAGGCCGATGTACCAATAAGGTAATAAAGTTTAAGATACACCGCAAAATTGGTCACTTAAAGGCACGTGACCCCCCTAAGTATAGTATAAAAAAGCATTACTGTGCAATCATAAAAGAAGCATAATATTTGACCTTTGTTGTAGACTGGAATCATAGAAATTCTGATTCTTCTGCTTCTAATGAACTGGTGATAATCAATCCTGTCAGGAAAAAATATTTCAAAAATGTAATGCCAACAAATACATAGATTAAGTAAGAAACATTAGGGGAAAAGAGTAATGCTAATAATTCTGTTCTTTTTATTCATATCCACTTGCCAATAATTCACTTATTTTTATTCATATCCACATAATATAATTAACACAGCTTTTAACTCTATGTAGTTTTTGTAAAGACCCGGAACCATAGGATATGATAAAACATAGTTTAGAAAATTGTCCTTTTCAATTTCCAAAAAAGTCATGTCCAATAAATCCTTACTTTTAAACTTCTAATGCCACTACATCTCTTTCACTCACAAAGATATCAAGCATGGATGGGTTGGACAACAGCTGTAAGAGTGAGAAAGAGCAAGAAAATGGAGGAAAATGATGGTAACTTTATTTGAAGTGACAAAAGAAGTTAAAAGAATGCAAACATTTCAACAAATTGGTTATCACCAAACTCAAACATGCATACTCACCTTTGAAGTATTCTGACTTATAGTCACTCCATTAAAGAAATATAATAAACTACCAATTTGTTACAGAGTTGCTTTCTTTAGGCCATTTAAATACAGGCTATATATAGTGTCACTGATCATGTTAGGTTTTGCAATGATACTCCAACAACGCTAGAAGCTATACTATGTACAAGTGATCTAGTTATATAACCAACCATCTTTATTTTATTTCAAACACTTGTATCATGGTATAAAATAGAATAATTTTATATAGGTGCAAAAAATTTTCTATATTGAGGAAGAGATTTAATTAGCATTCTTCAAGTCGTAATCAAACAGATGATCATAATCAACAACCCCAGAAAAATGTTTAATTTTCTATTGCTTTCACAATATATATATATATATATATATATATATATTGAACAACATTTGTGATTGGTAACATTATTTATATTCTATGGTCATTGTTCTGGTTACATTGCAGTTAGTGATATATTCTATTTCTAGATAAATGTTGGCATATTCAATTGACGGTGGTTTTAAACAATTAAATTAAATTTACTAGCCATGAGTATTGTGGTCCAAAGATAAGAGTTAAATTCTGTACAACGACATATTCCATCCCACTTAATCGTTAATGATTAAACAAGATCTCCAAGCAAGATTTTCATTAATACTATATATAATGGGATTCCATATCAAAAAAAAAATATTATTGTTTCTTTCTTCTTTTTTTAATTGACAGGTATTAAAATAAAGTTTCTATATGCATGAAACATGAAGTAATATTAAGATTCTCTCTCTATATATATACACACATATATATGGATGAGAATTGAGGTCAATGTACATAAGATTCTTTTAAGGTTGGGGATGCTTTAGATATAATTATGGTCTGAAATTTATTTACATATGGAAACAGTTAATGCACACTTTTTTTAGAAACAAATTAAGAAATAATTATATCCTCTTAATAATTTGTACCCTCCAATTACTTACAGAACCTATAATTTATAGATAAAATTAGTACTATTTAAGATAAATATATATTTTATTAGTCACAAGTACTGTGTCTAAAAACTTTATTGAATATAGTAGGTTCCGATCTTGCTTTTTCCTAAGCTTGATTATATTTTGAAGATCCAATGGAAAAAGAAATATATTTATTATACTAAGATTCTTTTAGTTTTAGTAGATCACCCTAATTTGTTATGTTTTACAAACTTTTGTTCATCATACAATTACAGCAACATTGTATGATTTAGAGAAAGCCTATTTGACCTAATATGGAGAAAGCCTATTTGACCTAATACAATCACATAAGGTGCTGGTTGAATAAAAAATTGTCTGCCTGGGTTTTCATATACAAGGTTCAAATCAAACTTTTCTTGCAAATTAAGAAGACTCTAATAAGCTTAGATATATAATACTGTATATGTTTTTAAACAACTTTACCAAACTTCTCGTAGGAGAAGATTGCCTTGAAATAAATATATTACATATTAGTTCTCCTCCTCACTTTATTTCAGTTTTTCATTATGGTTGCCCCTAGTTTATCCACAAGTAAATTCATGTGCTAAAAATTAACAATAAATTAGTCAAAAACATATCATTATGGTTAAGATTTTTTTGTCTCAACTATCAAACCTGTTATAACTATAGCAACAAATGACAGAGCAGTGGAAGTTACTTACCAAGCCCCTGACATATTTGCAATCTTCCAGTCATTTCTGAGAATTCAGGACTGCACTCTTTAGTTCAGGTAACCACTTCTCTATTATATTTTTCTCTTGTTCAGCAGCCAAACTCAAACAACTTCTTGTCCTGGAAGAGGTAGTCAATGAACATCAAGCAAAACCATACAATGTCTGACTTAACAAATTGAAAATATAAAGAATTAAACAACATAGGAAAAGGGGAACCCAATGAGTTGGTTTTGTGTTTGTACCTGTGAGTGTGCATATGGTGGCAGTTGTGAAGGATAGGGGTATTTGTTATGAACCCCTTTGCAGAATGTCTCAAAACAGAGGTGGCTTTCTTTTTGTAGCCTGGGGTAGAAAAATGTTCAGCATAAACATGAGTTGAAGTTTCATCTGATATACATTAAATCCTCACTTTCAAATTGAAGTATTCTTAAAAATTGGATTAAAAGAGTCAAATAATAAACCTGCAAGTGACTTTTCAAGTGGTAAAGTGTCAGTCCCCTCATATTCATTATCTGCAAGATAGCCTTTGGTGTGGCCTCTGCAAAGGTATTGCAAAAATGTGAGAAACATCGAGCTGCCAATTAAATATATAATTAACATAAATTTAAAAAAAAATTAAATAAATAAAAATTGGTATAGTTTTGCTCGCGCACAAACACATTACAAAACATAAAAATGCATTGAAGTACTATATATATTGTTGAATTGCTGAAACAACACTTTTATTGCTAAGATTATTAGTCAAGGATCAAACTAGATTTAAGATTTTGATCTTCAAAAGCATAGAATTAAATAGGTTTGGACATGATTCTCAATTTCTCTATGGGAAAATGATGATGATTAGACAAATGCAGCAAGAATAAATTGATGATGTTAGACAAAAGCAGCAAACTAGCGATCTACAGATTAGATACCTAAAACTCACTCACAATACACAATTAAACAATCGGAACAAATGGATCAAATTCCAGTTGCTACACAAGCAAACAAATATCTTCCTGACCACATCAAAATTTGAAATCGCATCAAAAGCATGTCAAGCGAATATACATATGAATTTAAAACACACATACAAATCTACTAGGTCAATCCAGAGCCTATAATTCAATACATAACAGAAGATCCAAAATCATCTACCGGTACTAGTGCATCTGAAAAGAAAAATACATATCCACTGCACAGATGAATCTAATCGTACAAAAATAACACTATAGACGCACAAATCAGCTCAAAACAACAGATCTGTACATATATATAATAAATTTCAACATATGAATATACACAGTCATAGGAACAAAAAAAAATTTCAGATTCAAATAAAGAACAATACGAAAATCTATAGAAACCCTAGGAGATGCTGAGAAAGAGAAGCAGAGAGAACCGACCTTTCGCAGATGAAGAAGAATCGAAGACTCGAAAAACTCTCTCGCTAGCCGACCTTCGGAGGAGAGAGAGAGTGTTTTGCAGAGCGAGAGAGTGAATGAAAGGCGAGAGTAGCCTCTTAAGGTTGGGGCAGTAGGCGAGACCTGTGATGGAAGGAGAGAGAGCGGCTGAAGGAGTTAGGGGCTATTGCAAAATGAAACGGGAAAGTGGAATAAATTGTTAATTGGCGGCCCTAAAAAACGACGTAGTTTAGGGCCCAAATATTACAAATCAACGGGGGAAAAAATGGAGGGAAGGGAAAAAAAAATGGAGGGAAGGGAAAAAGCGAAAAGCTCATTTACGGGGCAAAAAAGGCGCCTTAAATATGAAAACTTTTATTGTTTATTTACGGAGCAAAAAAGGCACCGTAGATGTGAAATTTATCCACTTATTTACGGGGCAAAAAATGTGCCTTAGATGTGAAAACTTATTTACGAAGCAAAAAAGGCGCTGTAGATGTGAAAACTTTTATTGCTTATTTACGGAGCAAAAAAAGCGCCGTAGATGTGAAATTTATCCACGAGCTGTTTAATACACCGTAATTTCATCTTATCAACGAGGAACATTTATCCCGATAAAGGTATACAAATATGCCGTAAATGTATCTAAATATTCACGGGCTCTTTAATACGCCGTAAAAATATTTTTCTACGACGATTCTATAAAATCCTCGTGAAAACATGTCCTATTACGAGTGTTCTTTTAGAAACTCCGTAAATGGTGGTAATCACGACGCAAAATAAAGAAGCCCTGTAAACACTATGTCGTAAAAACCCACTTTTCTTGTAGTGGTGATCCGATCTTGGATTGAAAATGTGCAATTAAACACAGTTATTAAGATGCCTTGCAATCTCAACCAATGATATACTTTGACTAGTATTTATATTTGAGATTTACATCTACAAAAGTTAGCTAGGCTTTTGTTATCATAACTAGTATTATCTTAATCTCACTCTATTAAGAATATATTATATTATCAGATGTTAAATCTTTCATATCAAATATACCAATCAGTAAATCATTTATATTTTAAGGCATACAATGACTTACGCATCACATTTATGTCATTGTCTCGGTAGTAGCTTTAATCTATTTAAGGACTTATAAGCTTGCACACTTGACTTTTCAACTAGAACAAATAACTCAGCACTTCAACTGAAAAAAGAACTCTTCTAGTTGTTTCATAATATTTTCCTCGTAGGAAATAATATACACTATTGTTATAATAATATAAATGATTTTTGGTTCTATCCTAAAGCTCTTAGGACTTGGAACCCCCCACATTTATAAGTATTTCTGTTAAGATGAGTGACTCGTAACAAATTTCATATATGGATAATATCTCCCCACAACTTTGGGATAATCCTGAAATTTTATCTCTAATGTATTTATTATGATTTTTTAATTATGAAAGTACCATATATTAAATACTTCACCTTTTCTACCTTTTCAAGGTTCCATATTCGCTTCTCAACAAGCATATATAATAGTCTCTAGTGCATATGTACTTACTTTATCTTTAGTATATTCTTATAATAATTCACCGACATTACCGTGAATTAATGCTAAAGATATTAATTACAATGGGCTCTAATTAATATTTGTTTTTACATCTTTTATATTTATAAATTGAGTTATTCATGTTTAGGTTCATGTTAAGTCAGTCATATTAACATGTTATAACCTTTCATGTGTCACACATCATATAACTCAATCATTTAAGCAAATAATTATCTTATTATTTAAGCTTTGGATACAATTACCACAGAGTGAGCACTCACTTCTCAGCTATCATTACTAGTTAAAAGTGAGTTTTTAACTATTATTACTAGCTTAGATTAAGTACACTCTTTTCATATCTCACTACTAGGTTATGATGAGCACCCACTTTTCAGCTATTACCGCTAGCTTGAAGTTAAGTTTGTTTAACTATCAATTCTAGTAGTTTATAACTTTAGTACACACTTATCTAAGTAGTCTACCTTGGTAGTAGAGTAATTTGTTTTGAAGAATATTCTTCAAAAACTACTACTTTACAAGTAGGATTATTCCCTCCTACATGAGCAGATATGATGAATAGCTCAAATAGCTTATGGCTAAAATAGCTACTCATCACCATCGTGTTTTTTACTACCAAGTTGAAAGCTAAAACCAACTAACAGATTTTCCATCTTCCTCTTAGGTTCCGTGCACCTCATTAATCATTTTAGCTTATAGCTAAGCTACTTTGTTTGCAACTCAGTAACATTTTAGCTTTTAGCTAAATTGTACATTAGAGCTAACTAGTTTGATTTAACTTATCTCAGTGTACTAGCTTAGTGTATTCATAACATTTTTCATTAAACTCTTTAGAGTTATCGGAAAATCTTTTCTTATTTAGCCCATTCACAGCTATACATGTCTTAGACACTAGTATAGATCTTTCTCCCTTGACTATTGGAAGAATTGACATACTTAGACTAATCAATTTTTGTCTGTTGTATTAAATACATAAATCAGTCATGAACTCAAACAAAATTAATAATATCACACATTAAATAAGTTATATTGTAAAATTAAATTACTGCGTACACTAAGTAATTCAACTATATATCTCAATATTATAATCTCAAATAATAAACTTTTGTAAAAATAATATTGAACTTGCATAACAATATAGTTTCATATTATATCACATGATTAATTATATCACATAATTAATTTAAGAAAAAAGATTTGTGGCTCATTCTCCAATAAACATACTAGAAAATTAGGACCAAAAGATGTAGACGTTCTAGCCTACAAGAAAATGATATGCACTGATGTTATAACCTATCAAAGGTTTTATATAATGATCCACTCCATCACATAGTATGATATTGTCTACTTTGGGATCAAGCTCGCACGATTTTGTTATTAGGTTTTATCTCAAAAGGCCTCGTACCAATTGGAGATAACACCACTACATAAAATCACTTTACCTTTCCCTTACGTAGGTGGCGTGGGATTGTGCACCTGTAACTTGCTCAATGTGATAACATGTCAGTGCCTCTTGCACCTGCCCACGGCACACCCACCCACAAGGTTGCCACATTATAGGTCTCACTTTAACTTTCTTAGGAGAAAGTACAACCTTAGTTAGACACCCCCACATTTTTAAGAATTTATAGGAAGGTTTTCGACTTTTCCATAATTCATATGGTGTCACATTCTGAGTTAAACCAAAACTTATCAATATAGCATTCATCATTTCTTCGTGAATGATACCATATTCTAAACAAATATCAGCACATGATGTTTTGTATTCACAAATTCTCAACCTCACTTTTGTAATGTTTAAACATTTCTAAGGTTTATCTTTGCTTCATAGCAAATATATATAACAGTATTTTGTACAACTATTGATAAAAGTAACGAAGTACTTTTTTTCACCTCTAGTTGGCATATGTTTAAGGTAATGTCATATACTTCATAATATCATATTACAAAATTAAAATAATTCAACCAATATTGAATTATATATATATAAATAATTCAATAGCCTATTTATATAACATACTTCAATTTCATATAATATTGAACATATCAATATTTAGCATATTATCATATAATAATGTATAAAATATTATTTTATTATATCTCAACTATTAGTATGATATCTACTTATTTTTATTTTAAATAGAAGCATATAATAAAATTTACCTAAGGAACGAATCTGTCTTAAGATTGATAATAAAATATATGTTTCATGTGACATTTAAGATATAACAAATCTTATATTAATATATCATGAGATAATTAACAATATGCTAAGAAATCATTAATTAAATATGCAACTCTATATTTAATTAAATATGCAAAATAAATTAATGAAATAATAATTATAAATAAAGAACCTGGACCGAGGCTAGTATTGGATATTATGTCCTTAAGACAGATTCGTCCCGCTATGGTGCTAACGGACTCAGTGGCGTCTATCTCCCAGGATACAACGGTCTACATCCACCAGTAGCAGCACTACAAACTCGTGGATACGACGAACCTTCTCCGTGTAATACTCTCTCTGACTAAAAAATGCATCTATGTTATATAAATGCTGAATTGGGTGCAATTCAAATCAAATGGTTCGGACCAATCTTAATATGGCTCGATGAAATTGGATTAGGGTCTAAGTGGTTCGGACCACTTAACCTATGGTTTGAACCCACTTGGGTTGGGTTCAAGTCTAGAGAGGGAGATAGAAGAAAATGAAAATGAACAACTTGTAAATGATCCAAAAGGGAGGTATTTATAGAAACAGAAATGCCTTTTCGGATGGGGTGTATATTTTCATTATTGGACACAACCATTGCAATAGGTTGCAATGGTTCACATGGTGTCTGTTCACCAATAGACACATCAATTCCAATAGGTTGCAATGTGCCTTTTCGAGTGGGTGCAACCATGGGTTATGATAGTTCGGAAAAAGGTGTAACCCTTTGAAAAAACTAAAAAGTGGTTTTTTAATTTAAAAGGTGTAACCCTTTAGAAAAACTAAAATATGGTTTTTTAATTTAAAAAGTGTAACCTTTTAGAAAAACTAAAAAGTAGGTTTTTTAATTCAAAAAACCAAACACCCAAAAAACCCACCCATTTGTGAAACCTATTTAAATAAGCCCAGCCTAAAATTAGGCCCAATCCAAAATTCCAAAAAAGAATAATCTGGACTTTACAATTAAGCCCAAGCCCAAGCCCAAATCCTAAACTCAGCTTATTTAAATTTCAATTTGTTTTAACATTTTTTTCATGTGGGACAAACACTTTCCACATTTTGCATACCCATTTAAGCTTATCAAAACACCACACTTTGGAGTTAATTTCTCATTCACCCGGAAACGGATTTGAGAAAGTAAATATACCACGTTCATCTCCTTACGGAGAGAAATGCGCTCGTCTAGAGATCCGCAAAAAATTATTAGCGGAATCTATTCCAAATCTCATCCAAAGTTTATGTTTTTAATGCCCCCATTTCCAACAACTACGAGTCTATTAATTCTTTGTCGCGAAATTATAGGTGGGAACTACATCGGGTGTTGGTGGTAAACCTGCACTACAAGAAATGGTGCTATTAGGGACAAAAAAAACTGTCCCTATAGGTGCTTAAACTGTCCCCAATACCTTTTTGGGACGGCTGATGCAA